ATATTTCAGCTCGTGGATACTGAAGATGTATATTCAAATCACAGCTACTCTGATCCCCAGCAGATGAGTCATTAAATAATTTCAATTTACTGATTGATTTCATATAGCTATTACAAGCTTATTTCCTTTTTAATTGTCCCTGGCTTCAGTTATGTATGTGATCTGTGTGGTACTACCCAAGTGTGGTGAGATCCCCAAGGTAGGCACAGATAATGCATACCAGTCACTCCCCTCTCCCAAGTGTTAGAAATAATAAAAATAAAATTTAAAGCTAAAGATTAGCTGTTTTAAAGATATATCACCAATTTAGCTTGAATGTAATCTCTTTAAATAATTGAAGGAAAGTATGTCAGATGTGGGCTTTAGCATTGAGTATGGCTGTGCAGTTGTTAGTTGTTGTATTTTAGGCAATTTATCCTTGGAAAGTTGTCTTTTGGTTGTGCTTGAGCTGTAATGTTATGTATCAGATGTAAGTGCTGCCATTTACTCTCTCCTTTGCACTGAAGTGGCAGGACCATAAGACATCATTTGATGTTAATGTCACTGGTGACAATTATGCAAGTTATGGCAAGTAGGTGCACTGGATCTCCTGGTTTTGGCAGTCTTAACTGGATCGACTACAATAAGGAGAAAACTGTATGAGTTTCATTTAATTGTTTGATATTGGATACATTTTTTTCTTCATAATGTGTGGGGTTATTTTTCCTAATTCATTCCTGCATTTCCATTCATTGAATTTTACCTTTTTTGTTGACCTGCTATTGCATACACCTTTGTCTTTCATTGATTTTTCATTGAAACTGGCAATCAGTCAGTATTTTGGAATTGGTACATGAATTTTAGAAGTAGCTTTTAAAATTCTTAAAACCTAAATTCCAGAGCCACCTCAGATCAGACCCTTTAGTTTCGAGCCTGAACTCCTCTCTGGCTTTGACACTCAACTAACGTGCTATGTCATTCAGGGGGACCCACCCCTGCATATTGCATGGTACTTTCATGGTCAAGAGGTCTCTCATACAATGGGTGTCAGTACAATGAAACTAGGGTCTAAATCTAGTATTCTGAGCATTGAGCATGTGACTCATGGCCATTCGGGAGATTACACGTGTGTAGCAGCCAACCCTGCTGGTGAAGACCGCTACACAGCACGTCTTGTGGTTCATGGTAAACATGTAGTGTGCTCAGTACTATGATGATATAACGGATAGATGAGTTAGGCTTGATATCTTATACTCGTGATTAAATGATTTTGGTTTTATTTATGTTCAGAAGCTGAAGCTTAGTTATTTATTTGTTTTTGTGATGTGTCCCAGTGCATGTCTTGTGTTCCTACACCCAGTTTAGTCTCTTTTTTTATGAATTGAGAACTTTATGTAGATTATATTATCAAAGTGAAATGATTTTGTTAACTGAGGTATAAGATTGATACATTAATGTGCTTATTATTTTTATCAGTTTTTGTAATATGTTACATCTCTTCTTCCATTTTCCCCAATTCCTGTATGATCACTTTAATTTTGGATTTCCAGTATTTTAGGAGATATTGGTAGGGGCGGGCAGTTTTTACTGGTGTGATTAGAACATATTTGGATTTGTTAATGTTGAAGCCTTAGGTAAGTTTTGCCAACCTATTTTAGTAGAACTTATGCAAAGCCAACAGGACAGTAACAGGGATGTGCCTATTGCAGAGCTTCCGGAAATTAGCCCCCTCAGCTTTGATAGTGACATAGAAGCTGGACGCGAAGTTCAGCTTCTTTGCTACGTGCCCAAAGGAGACCTACCAATCGATTTCCACTGGTATTTCAATGGGCAGGAAATGACTCTGAGGAGTGACATAAATACTGTAAAGTTAGGCAGCAGATCGAGTGTTCTCACCATAACGGAGACAGATCACTCACACTCAGGGATGTACACTTGTGCTGCCTCCAATGCTATGGGGATGCACAAGTCTTCAGCATCTCTCGTGGTTCATGGTAGTCACAAGACTAATCTGTATGATCAGTATTATTTTGCTTTTTTTTTCTTTTTTTTCTGTACATCCACCCTCTTCAACTTCCTCCAAAGTGACTATTATTTATTATTTTCTAAAATTCTTTTCAGTATGTTGATATTGAATCCTTGATTTTTTTTCATGTTATAACATTCTAGAGTGAATATGAGGGTTTCTTATTTTCTAACTGATAGTTGAAAAAATGTAATGAAATATGATTTACAGAACCACCACGAATACGACCATTTTCCTTTGAGGGAGAAATCAGGTCAGGAAAGGACACTCAAATTGTGTGTTTTGTGAGTGACGGTGACACGCCTTTGAAAATCAGATGGTACTTCCACGGTCAAGAAGTATCTCATCATATGGGTGTCACCACTGTAAAATTGGGTTCCCGGTCAAGTATCCTGTCAATTGAACATGTAACCCATGGCCACTCTGGCGTTTACACTTGTGTGGCATCAAATGCAGCAGGGGAAGACCGGTTTGGAGCTTCCTTGACTGTCCATGGTATTTGTAGCTAATTTTGCAATTGAGACACTGTACTTATGAGCAAAATCTTTCTTACCAGTGCTGAGTAGCCCTAACACACTGTATTTCTTATCAGTTACTGTCCTATATTATCTAAAGCCTAACACTGGCTTCTCCCTTTCCATTGAAGAGTGTTGGAGTCAGCCATTTTAAAATGAGTTACACATATATATAGATAAACATATGTGTATATATATACACATACACACTTTATCTGCTAGGATGGCACCTTCAAACAAGTAAAAAAAATAGATAATAAATAAAAGTTAGGAAGGCAGATATGTAATTTATCCTTGTAAATCAGGGGTTTGTAATTTCCATGGATCAAGTATATTAAATTCTAGTCAGGGCAGTAAAGATCTCATCTCACATTTCACATGCCTCTTTTCTTTCCTCTTTTCCTTGTATTTGAAGAGGATTATGTAAACTGTGTGTGTGTGTGTGTGTGTGTGTGTGTGTGTGTGTGTGTGTGTGTGTGTGTGTGTGTGTGTGTGTGTGTGTGTGTGTGTGTGTGTGTGTGTGTGTTTCTGTGGGTGGGTGGTGGTGTGTGCTTGTGTGCTTGTGTGCATGTATGGGTGTGTGCACGTGGGGTTTCGCATGTGTTTGTGTGTGAGTATTTGTGAGTGTTAGTGTGCATATGAGCTTGACTGTATCTGTGAGTGTAAATGTAAGCGTTTGTGAATGTTAGTGTGTGTGTGTGTGTGTGTGTGTGTGTGTGTGTGTGTGTGTGTGTGTGTGTGTGTGTGTGTGTGTGTGTGTGTGTGCGTGTGTGTGTGCATGCATGCATGCGTGCGTGAGTGAATGAGTGAGTGAGTGAGTGAGTGAGTGAGTGAGTGAGTGAGTGAGTGAGTGAGTGAGTGAGTGAGTGAGTGTGTGAGTGAGTGAGTGAGTGAGTGTGAGTGTGTGTGTGTGTGTGTGTGTGTGTGTGTGTGTGTGTGTGTGTGTGTGTGTGTGTGTGTGTGTGTGTGTGTGTGTATGTGTGTGTGTGTGTGTGTGTGTGTGTGTGTGTGTGTGTGTGTGTGTGTGTGTGTGTGTGTGTGTGTGTGTGTGTGTGTGTGTGTGTGTGTGTGTGTGCATGTGCACATGTATTTGTATGTTTTTGAGGATGCTTAGATGTAAATCCAAATCCTCATATATAAAACAATGACATGTAAATTCAAAGACAACAGTGTGTATATATGAATATACATGTGTTTGGTAAAGCATCTCTGATTTTATATATATATATATATATATATATATATATATATATATATATATATATATATATATATATATATATACATCAGGAATCATTAGATGGATAAGGCATATGCACTCAATTTTTCTTGCTGCTCGTATTTTCCTTGTGAGATGTTGCATACATTAGCTCTGCAGCTTGAGGCTAAACATATGTTAAATGTGATTCTTTCCTTTAAATGAAATGGATGTTTATCCCAATGCAATCTTTGTAAATCAAACTTAATGGTAATGTGCTAAAGAATGTATACTAAAACGATGGTGTGATCTAGATGTCTTTAATGCCACTTGATATTAAGTACCTTTTGAATAAAAAGAGGCCTAGTACAAATTGGTATTTTTTGTTATAAAAAAGAAGGTATGAATATTTAAAGATAAAATTCAAAATTTACCTTGGGGTCATCTATCATCATCATAGTGTCCATGCTTCCACCTTGCAGAGCCACCTTTAATCATGCCCATGACTTTTGGTGACTTTGAGGTATACGAGGGTGATTCGGTCCAGGCGAGTTGCATGGCACGCAAAGGTGATGTGCCCATGACATTCCTTTGGCGCTTCAGAGGTGCCATGGTGAATCCGTCACCAGAGATACGAATTGTGAGTCTTGGAGCACGGAACAGCCTCCTCTCCATCAGTGGTGTGGAAGCCCGGCACCAAGGAATATATATCTGTGAAGTTACAAATGCTGCTGGAACAGCTCAATATGCTACAGAACTTAGGGTTAATGGTATTAGCACTTTTTTTTGAAGTTGGTTAGATCACACTTAGAGAGTTTAGTGGTGGTTTTAGAAACCATCATGAAAGCCTGAATTTACTTTTACATATGCACCCAGTAACCCCTCTCAATTTGCATTAGCTATTCTATGGATACAACCTTTACATAGTCCCACTTTTTAAATTTCAGAACCACCTCAGCTTTTACCAATAGACTTTGGTTCTGATACATTTTATGAAGGAGATCTTGCCCAAGCCAACTGTGTTCTTCGTAAAGGAGACTTACCAGTGACTTTTAAGTGGATCTTTAATTCAAAATTACTTGAGGCTTCTGATAGTGTGGAAGTTTTGAATATTGGAGAGAGAACAAGTCTCTTGACGATAAATCCAGTCCGTGGTCACCATCAAGGAAACTTTACATGTTTAGCTACAAATGCTGCTGGAGTAGCCCAAATGGGAGCAACTATAATTGTTAATGGTATTAATAAAACTTATCATAATAAAAGTTGACTCAGATATGCTAATTGGTGAAGGGTTCTATGCTTTTTTTTAAGGCTTCTTCTCTCTGTTCCTTTGGGAATCTATTAACTAAAAGAATTTGAAGAATCTCTCTAAATTACAAACCACATTTCCTTACAGAACCTCCTCAAGTAACACCTATAGACTTTGGGGAACCTACCTTCTTTGAGGGAGATTTAGCTCAGGCTACATGTGTGCTCCGTAAAGGGGATCTGCCAGTCATCTTCTCATGGATGTTTAATGGGGTAGAACTGAGCCAGACAGATGAAATACAAGTTCTTAAAGTTGGTCGTAGGACCAGCATCTTGATTCTTGACCCAGTCCAGGCACATCACCAAGGAACGTATACCTGTCGAACAGTCAATGAGGCAGGCACAGCAGAAGTAGAGGCAGAAAGTAGAGGAGCTTGTCAATGGTACAGAGGAATTTAGTTAAAACTTCTTTTAGGTTGTTTACTAACAAAATAATGCAGGATACAGCTGTAGGAGTGCAACGATGGAAGTATATGAATCTCTCCCTGTTCCTGTTCTTAGTCAGTCAGTAAATTGCTAATATGAAAATATGAGAGTAAAGCTTTTTTTGTTTTTCTTACAGAACCACCTCAGCTATTACCTATAGAATTTGGTTCTGAAGCATTTTATGAGGGTGACATGGCCCAAGCCAACTGTAGGCTGCGTAAGGGTGACCGCCCAGTAACATTTAGTTGGTTATACAATGGGATACTACTGGTGAACACAGATGACACTTACATTGACCATATGGGCAGCAGGACGAGCATTCTGACTCTTGACCCAGTGCGAGCACACCATCAGGGCAACTACAGCTGTAGGGCTGTTAATAAGGCTGGATTTACCCAAGTAGACACAACTATAATTGTCAATGGTACACAGCGGATCTTTTTGGAAATCGTGTATGTGGGGTACAGGTTCTACAAATTTTTTCAATTTGGCATTTCTGCTTCTTTACCATGGATAAGTATTATTCTCTCCCTGTTCCTTATATGTGTACAAACATAGTAGCATTTGAAAATTCAAAATCAAATTTGCTCTATTACAGAACCTCCTCAGATAATACCAATAGACTTCGGATCTCAGGCATTTTACGAGGGAGACTTGGCACAAGTCAATTGTGTACTACGTAAAGGTGACCCTCCTTTGACCATCAAGTGGCTACTCAATGGTGTAGAACTTGTCACCACAGATGCAATACAGATTCTTAGCGTGGGCAACAGGACCAGTATCCTGACAATAGATCCTGTGGGTGCACAACACCAGGGTGTCTACTCTTGTTTTGCTGAAAATGACGCTGGAACTGCTGAAGTAGAGGCAGAAATGATTGTCAATGGTACACAGAGGAACTTTATCAAGCTCATGGATATAGGGTACTAACTTAATAGGTTCTGTGAAATGGCTTTTCTGACTCCAGTGGTGGTTAGTTGCGTTATCTCCCTGTTCCTCCCTTTAGATTCGGAAAACAATGAAAATATTTTTTTCCTTACAGAACCTCCTCAAATCTTACCTATAGACTTTGAAGCAGAAGCCTTTTATGAAGGTGATCTGGCACAAGCAAATTGTGTACTTCGGAAAGGCGACCGTCCTGTGGCATTTATTTGGAAGTTTAATGGGTTAGAAATTTTTAACTCAGATGACACAACTATTGTTAGTGTTGGCAGCAGAACAAGTATCTTGACACTAGATCCTGTACGAGCCCATCATCAGGGCAACTACAGCTGTACTGCCATTAATGCAGCAGGGGAAGCTGAAGTCACCGTCTCTCTAACTGTCAATGGTACATACTAGCAAAAGCATGAGAGAACGGGAAGGGCTCTATGTTAAACCACAGCATCAAATTCATACATGAAGTGGTCTCTCCCAGAACGCTATTTTTCTTCTGGTAGCAAATTGTGCTAATCCTTTTTACTGGAAGTTTGAGGTGTATGCAGATGACATAATCATTACTTCTGTATTCCCTATGATTGCATTTTGTTCACTGGACCAGAAAAAGAACATTTAATTAAGCATTGCCTAAGTGCTTCATATCATAAGAGGGTCAGACTCTATGTTGCTGTTTTAATGTAGTAAATCATAATATCATCAATTGTTATTTACCTCTCAGTTCTGCTTGCTTTTGTAGGCTGCATTAAACATCAGACATATCAGAGAGGTTACTTAATTTTGAAATTTATTTGATTTTAATGGTGAAAATGCAAGGGATTAAGGAAAAAGAAAAGAAAAGAGAAACTAAAATAATAGTCATAATCTTTGTCTTCATTTATTTTGAAATTAGAATAACATAGCCATTGTGACCTCTGAGATATGAGCTGTACCACACAAGGGAGCTTAAAAGATGATAATTTGCTGTGTTTCATGGTGTTAAATGTTGGGAGATGGACTCAGTATACCCTTTCTTCACTATCCTTCACATCTCCTTGTTCCTCCATCTATAAGCACACCATGGAAAGTTAAACAAAAAATGTTCCCGTTCCAGAACGCCCTCATTTGATACC